CCATACTTCATGTAGACAGAATCCGTACTTCTGTTCAGGTCTGAAATCATGGTATTTGGACTCATTTGTTTTTACTCCGAGTTGATCGCTAAGTCTTACTACTTGTTTCATTGTTACTCTCGACTCGGGTCTCTTCATAAGCATATTGTCATCAACCCAACGAAAGACTTTGGGTATTGATAGCCGAATTTCGACTATTTCTTTCCACGCATCTGCCGGTCTCCCAAAGATACCACAACCTGCTACGCCACCAAAGGCTACTCGTGTATCGATCCACAGGCCATCTTCGAAGTCTTTCAAGATTAGATACGGCCATTGGTCTGGGTCGGTGGGAATTTGGCGGTAGGCCTTTTCCCAATCGAATATCGCTAGGAGCCACGCGCCGGGGTTGTCTTTGAAGAAACATACGACTCGTTGGAAATCATCCCATGTAGTCTTGAAATGTTTCTTCTTAACGAACGAATTAACTGATGGGATCTTCTTGTTTCTCTTTGGGTATGACAGGTCGTGAATCACTCTAAAAGTGCCATCCCCGTTTATGGTGCTCCCCATTGGACTCGACCTGAAGAACGGGAACCATTCTTTTACTTGTTCGTGTGTAAAAGGGCCATATATTCGGCCTTCTCTCCTCTCTTTTGCTAATGTGTTCCTTATCTTTTGCCGCACTTCTTCTGCTGAATCATGGTTATCAGGAGTATACCAGGGGCGATTTCCTATCCGGTGCTCGGGTATACCTTGGGGAAATCCAAATTGAAAACCTTCTATTACATCCGTGAACTTATTTAAGATGCCCGCCTCTTGAAGTTGCCTTCTCCATTCTCCAACATTCATTTCGCAACGGACTCTACAAGGCCACGGTCTGTTGTCTTCAGGTCTGTGTATTTTCCTTACGTATAAGCTCTTCTTTTTTGCTTCCTCTTCTTCGACTGATACATCCTCTTCTGGTTCAGTTTCATCCTCATTATCAGACTTCATGAATTCTCTCTTTGCTCCATAGTCCTCACTTCCTGAGCTACTGAATCCATCTTCTTCAGAACCGTACTCTGAACTTGATGCATTCTTTCCGTACTCAGAACTTGGGCTTCCGCTCTTTGAGCTGTAGTGTCTAGAAGATCCACTGTAACTTCTCTGGTGACTGTTTCAATGGCAAGGGCAAGGGCAAGGGCAATGGTAAGTCTCTCTCATTCTCACGCGTGGGAGGTTGTACGAATACGGTACGGATGGGGACGGGTACGGATGGGTTTGGCATGGAGGCACGGCTTTTTGGTTGGTTTTGCCTGATCATTCTGCCTTTTGGCTGCATTTCACGGTAGGGGGTCGAAGTTGTAAGTCCTAAGTAACTCACTTCCTCTTGGAGTTATTTCCTTTCGGTTGGTTTTTGTTATGACTTGACGGTCGACTATCATCTCTATAGTCATTTCGACGGTCACTCCTTCGGTCATCTCTACGATCGTCTCGATCGTCTCTGTCGTAACGTCTCGGGGATCGTGTTCGTCGTATTGGAGACCTCGACCTCTCGTCTCTACCTGGAGACCACCTGTCGCCTCCACCTCGACGCCTGCTGCTTGAGTCTCTATCCTCCTCTTTATCATAATCACGATTGTAGTTCGTATATCTCCCCCTGCCTCTTCCTCGACCTCGTCGGCCGCTAAAACCACCTCGACCGTTCGATTTGGGATTCGAATAGGCTGTCTCTTCTTTCGTTGACTTGGATGTTTCTTCTTTCGATTCCGTTTTCTCGTAAGCTTCACCTTTATCTTTCTCTGCCGTCTTTGAGAGTTTCGGTACTTGGTCTTGGCGCTTCCCTCCTTTGGCATAAGGATTGTCGTGTCAGTCCCACTCCCTGAACTTGTCGACAGTCCTTCTGGCTTGTTCTTCTAGTTTCTTTTGGCGTACTGACGGGTCTCCGACTTTCCCCCCTTCTACCCTGATCGTCCAGATTTGGCGTCTTACAAGGATATCTTATCTAAGTGCGATCATCCAGTTGTCGTCATTCTCGCTCTTGATTTCTTCGACATTTTTCTTATGGCCTTCGAATTTTTCTGCTAGTCGACGGAAATCGAACCACTTCCTCAAGTAGTCGAGCATCAGATTGAAACAGGTTACCCAGTCACCATAACTTAGGCGTAGTTCAGAGGGGTAGGACAATCCTTCGTAGGTCTCGTCTTCCGAGTCTGATTCTTCGTCTTTCTTCTTTTTCTTAGACTTCTTTCCTTCAACCTCTCTATTCGCTTCCAGCCAGGCTCGGTTGAACATAGATACTGGTACGTAGCCTTTTATCTTCCTGATTCTGTTGTCCCAGAACACCGTCAGTTGAGCCATATGATGACTTGGGACTTCCCCTTCCGCGAACTCGATCCCGTTCTCCACGAAGCCTCTGCCTCTAGACTTGTTGACATTGTCATCTTCATCTTCCGACATCGGTCTACCTCTCGGTATTTTGCGTTCGGCGGCTCTGGCGGGCTTTACTTTGGGTGGGGGATTTGGGACTGGACCGTCAGGTTGTACGTTTGGGTGGTCAGGTTGTCCGGTTGTTGGCTGTACCGGTCTCGGCGTACGGTTGTTTGGCGGTTGTTCGGTTTCAATCGCCAGGATGTGGAGTATCCGGATGTGCTTCTGAATGCATGAAGCAAGAGAATTGCCTTGAGAACTGTTGCTGACCCATTGTTTCCTTTTTTTCTATTTCAGAAGGGCAGCTGCTTGTGCGCTCGACGGTTCTGAAGATGGGCCTGCGGTGGGTCCCACTTCTCGCTGTTTCCCTGTAACCGATGCGGAATCATTCGTAAGTTATCTTGATCCGCTGAAGTCACTCTCATCACGTGTGATCATAGGACGGATTGGACGGTGGGAAAAAAGGAGTTCGAAACGTGCCCAAGTCCGTTATGGGGACTTATGTATGGGCCTTCCCACTGGTATGGAGTGGGGACAATTGGGTATGTTTGTCATATTTGGACTAGCCTTTATGGGGCCTCTGACTCTTCCATTTTTGGGATGGTCAGGTGAACGATTTTCGTTTAATGGATTACGTCTTTACTGGATATACTCCAAGTCGATGTTTGTGCTTAGTTCAGGCAGACATGAAAAAGAAACAAGATCCAGCAGCTCTCATCGTTTACAATATGTATCACGTGGTCCCAGGATACGCAATTAAGGAAAAAAAGGGGGGGTAGGAGGGGTAAAGGGGAATGAGCTTGATTGGATATGGTATGGGGATCTCACCTTTATTTAGCGAGGGACTTGCTACTAATCCAGTGAGTCTTCTTTCTTTTTCTCGTTGTCCTTCATCTGGTTCTTTCTTGACTTGCTTGAGATTCACCCATGAAACTTCACTATCGCTGTCTTCTTCGTTCTCTAGATCCTCCAGATACTCTAAAGAACTCTCGCTCTCTGGCATCTCTTGGTTCTTGCGTTGGGCCGCCGTTTGATTACCGGTTGGGTCTCTAATTTGACCACCTGAGGTTCCGTCTGTTTGACTTTCCTCTATCGTCGTTAAGGTTGTTAAACTCGTACCACTTGGTAAGTTGTTCGTCGCTTGGGTGTTCGTAGTTGAAACTTCTCGTTCTTTGTCTTGCTCCTGTTGACCTTTAGATTTTCCTACTTCTCTCTGATTTTGACCGCTTGCATCTCCGTAACCTTTTACAATTACTCTTTTCACTTTGTTTTGTTGAACAGGTTCAACCACTTCTGCTCTCCTTTTCTCTGCTTGTTTCTTCGGTGGCTGTTTTGTCGGAGGTGCTGACGTCGGTGGTACTGAGTCCACTCTGCTGAAGCCTCGTAATTTCCGTTTTGGGTCCGCTACGTCTGGGAATAGCTCGTTGTTGTTGTTTGAAGTCATCTGATTTATTTGTGATAATTATTCTTGAATTAATTGAATTAAGACTGTTTGTTTCTAAATAAGGTTGTCGAAAAAAAAAATTGATGAGAGATCAATTAGAGTTATGAGCTGTTTGGTGTGAGTAGCGTACTGGAAAGCTTGAAGATTTTCCTGTATTGGAAATCTCAGCTTCTCCTGGGATGAAGACATAAGGGTTATGTCCCTTATGTCTCTGTACGCTACCCGTACCCGCTCATACTCCACCCCGTAGACAGTGGTCCAAACTGCGTCCGAACCTCACAGCATCTATGTTGTGGTGCATAGTTCATGAAGCTCTCTGCCTTCTGTAAAGATGAAAGTAAAGGGATCAGATACATTGAAGACAATCTGTAAAACAATGTGAAGTTTCCTAGGCTGTAAGTTGCAGAGCTGAGACCTGTTTGATTGGGCAATATGTCCTTTTATACACTGATTTCTTATGGGGACTGGCAAGTCTAGCAGTGTATTGATTGATTGAAAGGAAATAAAATGTAATGAACAAGGAGGAGAAGACTCCTTTCATACAAGAATACATTAATTCAACTCAGAATTGTAGAAATGCAAAAGTACACAAGTGCATCTCTTCATCAACTGTGTTTGAATAGCATTTTTGCAATTGCCTGTGTTGAAACAATAACAGCTGCATCAGTTTATCATGAAAATCAACAAAATACAATGAATAATTAGTATGGGTTACTTTTGCAGAGCACAATTCATTGATCTCAGAATCATAGGATCCTCAATAAGGGCAAAGGCAGAGGATGTATGTACACCACTTGAACATGACCAATATCAAAATCTTGCATTCACATTGTCAGTGGTTGTTTGAACAACAATAATTTAAAGATGAATCATGCATGTGCAACAAATTGGACACAATAGATATTGGCCCTATTTGCTAATACTGTGGGCAAATATAGAAGCTGTGGAAACAAGAAGGTTTCCTATTGTTTTAGTAAACAATTTGAGAGTGAATGTTAATTTCTACAAAGGTGGAGGACTAACAACTAAACTGAAGATGATGAGGAACAATAATTGTTCATATGGGCAGCTCCTACCTTTGTAATAATATATTCAAATTCATGAACCACTGGCAGCCAAGCCATTTTATCAATAAGAAAATACACAATTGAGATTTCATTGGATCAGTTTGACTGAGTATGATTTCTTGAATACTCCCATAATGATGAAAAATAGAGTATGTTATACACTTTGTCAAAACACTACTTGAGGTACTCTGATATTGAGAGTGTTAAGGGTTAGGGTTAGGGGGTAGGGGGTTAGGCTTAGGACAAGGATATCATCACCCCGCCCCAGGGGTTTGTGAGATGTAATTTATCTGCAATGACAATCATTCCTCCCAATCCCTGATCCCACCACATTTCAAACTTAGAATTAGCATGACCTCAATACCCCACCCTGCCTCATCCCCATCCCGTTGCTTGCTACCAGCAGCAAAAATCTAACCACCCTCCCTCAGACTGCCTTCATTTATTTTAAGTTGCCTTAACTATGTGATAAACCACTGTGTCACTCATACTAAATCAATTGATCAACATTAGGTTACAGGAGAGATTATACTGAATTTTCATCCAACCAATTACCCCCAACAAAGCTCCCCTGTGTGGGCAATTTGAGCCAGCATAGCCTCCAGCACCATTTACCAATTTATTGAGGGTGATTTCCTCTTGTGTGTGCGGCGCCCGCCGCCCAATTTGACTAGTATATTTTAAAGAAGAAGCAAAATTAAATTCCACGAGACAAAAAGACAATGAAGACCAGGAAGAAAATTATCAACACCTAAATGTGTGATCATGAACACTCAAAAATTATTTTCCCATATGCCCAGCTTTAATGCCAATGCCTTCATCTTGGTGTGCGCCTGCACTCCATACCCATGGAGCTGAGTATCACGGTATGAAGTCCATTCTTGGTCATCCATACCATCCCGTAATCTATACACTTTGGAAATCCTGTCGACCAGGGCCTGAGAGATCTGGCAAGAGCAGGCAAATCGGGTGATTTCGGCCTCTTCTGGTCTGACACGTTCGTATTCGTGATTGTACGTTTTTGATGGGGTGGTGTGATGGTTGACACGTGTGGACCGCAAGATCTCAACAACCCCGTCGCACGAGTCCAGGTCAACTTCAAGGTTATAATCATCTAGTACAAAGCGTGCACCAATGGAATTGCCACTAGGAGAAGTGGAATCTTTTTGATATAGATTGCCAGTAGTACGATCGACCAAGCCAAAAAATCCGAAGGCGTAATCCGTGGCATCACGATCTTTGTGCTTTTTGTTGGTAAATTCATCACAAGTCATAGTTATGTTTGAAGAAAACACTTGCGCATTGGGCGAAACGTAGAAGGATTGATTTGCCCATGAAGGTGCATCGGTAATTGTAGCTATAATGCGATTAGATAGGAAGGCTTTGGAGGAGAGACCTGAAAATCGTTCCGCAATGAAGTTTTCGATTTCAGGTAAGTTGCCCTGTCGTTTAAGGTCTGCCTCCATTTTGGCATAGTCAGCAGCAGTTTCTTCATTCCAAGTGTACGTCCCTGATATCATAAAATTGTGTTCTGATAAGTTAGTCATGCTTAAATTGATACCTGAGAATATATGATCATGTGACTGACCTGCTGCTACCCCTTTCTCATACCCGGGTCTCAAGCCAAAAGCATACATAGTTCCATACTTTCGGAGTCGACGCCTCTCCTTATAAGTGGCTCCATTGTTATTGACAATTCCTCGAGCTTTAGCGTGCGTATAGATTGTACTAATAGAATGCTCATATGATTTGAATAGGGTTTCGTTGCCTTCTGTCCTTTCAACAAACCGGGCGACCAGTAGTAAATCAGAAGTGTCTTCATCAAGACATACGACTGTTCCATATTTAATGGGGAATCGAGGGACCTTTTTGAAGAATCGTCCTTGCTTAAAAAATAGAAACTTTGTATTGGGGGGTAGTCCGTACTGCTCCATCAACTCAGCCTTCTTGGCCTCTCGTGCATTGATTATAGGATGTAATGTTCTATCTAAGTTCTTATTAATGGTATGATTTGCTCTTGAGTTGAGGGTGCTCTTTGATTTATACTTGCCCATCTTGATTATTTGATGCAATGTAATATCAATCGGGTGAGATAATTTGAGATTATTGATAAGGTAAAAATATAAAAAGGTGAGATGTTGGATAAATGCAAATCGATCGAAAGCTTTGAAATTTTTTATGAGATGATCATATATATATGATAATGTGATAAGATGTTTGTTGAAAGAAAATCGATCGAAAGCTTTTTACGAAAGTTATGATGGTGATAAGAACTATAGGATAACTGCAAATCGATCAAAAGCTTTGAAATTTTTTATGAGATGATCATATATATATGATAATGTGATAAGATGTTTGTTGAAAGAAAATCGATCGAAAGCTTTTTAAGAAAGTTATGATGGTGATAAGAACTATAAACTGGAAAAAACACAAGTTCTATATAAGTACCCCGATAGAATAGTTTGATGGTAAATGAATAAAAATAAATATAATAACAACAACCGATCAGAAAATCAATGCAGAAACACCTTACAATTTAGCTCTTGATGAACGGATCAGTTGTTCAAGTGCCAATGATCGAGAGATTAAGGATGAGGTGGATCGAATTGTTGGCCCAAACGATATATAGATAGATGAACGATAGATAGATAGATGAACGATAAGGTATATCAATTGAATGAGATTCCAGGTGAACCACTCCCCTCTAGCTTCTGTGTTATGCGTCGCGATGATCTCAATATCCGAAGCATTCAGGGGAGCAGATGACATTGAAATCCAGAATTCAATCAATAATGAAAAGGCCAAGGAGGAGCGTGAGGCCGTTGAATTTTTTTGATGTTTACTAAAATTAAGCGCGTGACACCTGATGCACCTAGGTACTTAAGCATGAAGTTTCACATTGCTGTCAAATGAGAGATATCAGGGTGGTTTCCAGGTTCATTTCAGCATAGCTCACTCAGTTCTAGTCCAAACTGAAACATGTGATAATCAAACATGATGAGAAACTCATTTGAGTAATAGTTTAATAATACCCCAATGTGATATTGTGATGTCTGGAGTGTCCCGTGGTTGATTTGCTAATGTTGCGGGCAGGTGTGTTATAGCCAATTTGAGCATAGCTCACTCAGATCTAGTCCAAACATGTTGAGAGAATTATTTGAGTCAGAGTTTAATTATAGGAAACTGGGAAAAAGTGATGAATTGAGTGTCACAAAGTTGATTTTGTGATGTTGCGGGTAGGTGCATTATACTGAAATTGAGCATAAATCACTCAGTTTTAGTCCAATCTGTAATGTGAAATAATAAAAGTTGGTTGCAAACTGATTTGAGTAATAGTTTAATAAGGCCAAAATGTGAAATAGTGATGACTTGAGTGTCCCGTACTTGATTTTGCAATGTTGCGGGTAGGTAATCTATCCCCCATTTGAGCATGGATTGGTCAGCTTTAGAGAAAATGGTTTCATACAATATTCAAAGTTGTTCTACACTCCATTTCCACTAGAGTTTAATAACCCTAAACTAGAGAATGGCGAGGTCTTGGAGCTTGCGTGGTGCATTTTGTGAGTATGCGGGGAGGTGAGTGATGACCAAGTTGGACATAGCTCATTCAGATTTGGTCCAAACAGTAAGATACAAAATCAAAGTTTGTTCAAAATCACAATTGAATGTGAGTTCAATATTGCTAAAACATGAAAATCCAGTGTTTTGAATGCAACTTGGTGCATTTGGTAATATTCACATGTGTGGTGAATGTCACAAATGTGCCTTATCTCTCTCAATTTTGGTCCAATCTCAAAAATTCAATAGTGAATGTTCCTTGAAATCCAATTTCGTTTTCCATTTAATATAAACTTTCTGAAGAATAATGCCTCCTTGACACACTTCTGGCCAATTCGAGTTTTTTCACAGTTTTTAAAATGGCTGTAAGTCACCCATTTTTTGGAATTTGGTTAATTTGATTGTTCCAATGAGTTCCTGAGTGGTTTTTAGGGGGGGTTATTAATGAAGTTTGATGGAAAACCCACTTTGAAAATTGTCTAAATTTTGAGGCCAAGATTGCACATATTTGTGCATTTAACATGCAATGTGACAAAGATACATCACTTTGACCAAATGAGGCGTGGTATGACTAGGAGAATTCTTTTGTTTATAGTTATTTGTAGAACAACCCAATGAATTATACAAAACTCAGAACACCTCATAGACTTAGTTCACTGAGTTTTGAGGAATTAACGCTTAAAACGGAGGTTAGGGGTTAGGGGTTTGCTTCCCCGTCAGACCAGTAAACACCATCAAGAAGCACCTGTTGATATGTTTTAAAATATTGAAACATATTTTTATATATGTCTGATCAATTTTATTCCATCTCCCACTATTATGAGATCATGATTGGGTGAGATATGAGTGATTTATGCTCAAATTGGTAATAACCCACCTACCCGCTACATCACAAATTCAAGTGTGTGACACTCTAGACATCCAAATTTCACATTTGGGTCTTATCAAACCCCTACCCAAATGGCTTTTTCAACATGTTTGATCATTACATGTCCCAGGTTGGAGTAGATATCAGTGAATTACGCTCCAATTGGGGATAACACACATACCCGCAACATCACAAAATCAACTACATGACACACAAGACATCACTATTTTACATTTGTGGCTTATTAAACTCTTACTCAAATAAATCTCTCAACATGTTTGATTATTGAATTTTCCAGTTTGGACCCAATCTGAGGGAGCTATGCCGAAAATGGGGATATAACACCTACCCGCAACATCACAAAATCAAGTGTGTGACACTCAATACATCACCCTTTCACATTTTGGCCTTATTAAACTATTACTCAAATCAGTTTGCAAATAACTTTGATTATTTAATGTTACAGTTTGGACTAAAACTGAGTGATTTATGCTTAATTTCAGTATAATGCACCTACCCGCAACATCACAAAATCAACTTTGTGACACTCAAGTCATCACTTTTTCCCAGTTTCCTATAATTAAACTCTGACTCAAATAATTCTCTCAACATGTTTGATTATTACATGTTGAAGTTTGGACTAGATCTGAGTGAGCTATGCTCAAATTGGCTATAACACACCTGCCCGCAACATTAGCAAATCAACTACGGGACACTCCAGACATCACAATATCACATTGGGTATTATTAAACTATTACTCAAATGAGTTTCTCATCATGTTTGATTATCACATGTTTCAGTTTGGACTAGAACTGAGTGAGCTATGCTGAAATGAACCTGGAAACCACCCGATTCAAGTGTTGGGAGCAGATGATTAGGGTTTGGATTTAACTATGTTTATGTATTTTATGGTTTAATCTGATCTGTATTATATTTTATCCACATCAGTTCCCACATCATCAATACAGTGGAGCTCCAAACGTATCATCTTATTCCCCACCCGTCCTCTCCATTTCTCGTCCATACTCATCTATTTTACATACATCATCAAAACACATCATAATGCCGAGTAAAAAGAAGCTTCGCCCTCGAGGGATTGAACGACTCGATCGGAAACCTCTGAATCCCCTAGATGCAAAAGTCTTGGAATGAAAAAATCGATCTAGGCTAACAGCACTTGACACAACTGGACATGATGTCCAAGCTGCTCTGTCAGGTCCACAAGATCATGATATCCCTCCGTTCCCTGCTTGTTCAGATGATGAATCCATGCGAGGAATTGGTGATGGACTACCTCATAATGAGCCCGGTCAAAACGCTGTGCTCGATCAAAATCTCGTTGACATGGCCAATGCCCTCAATGATGGGTTTTATTCTGGACGTAGGATGCATGAGGAAGCCCAATGGCGGACTCAATTCCCTGCTATGTTTCCTACATATCTCAAGTACAAGGAAAAAACACGAGAATGGTCTGGAGAACTATTTGACAAGGACTTCAAGCCAGCTTGCGAATGTCCATCAGAACCTAGAGCCGTTGAAATCATGGATCTGACATGTGGGAATAAATGCATACTCTTATACTTGCAATGAGATTGCTGATATACTTTCAATGGATATAGCTTGAAAACAGATACATCTTAAATTCTGTCGATGCGATGTCAGTGATCAGACACGCCTAATTGAGGCAGGGTACATTGGTGCCACACCAATGAGGCCGGAATCTGCCATCTCCATCCGATTACTACGTTTCTTCCATGTACATTGGAAATACTATAGTGTAGGGTTTGAACCCTTTGCACTTTCCCAAACAGAGTACCTGGACCCTGGGAATCCAATGATGCTTGCCAAAGGCGGAGGAGGTGTGAGTTACTTAACTTAATCATGACCATTATGTTCAAAGCCCGCAAGATCAACTTCACAGTCGCCGTGAAAGGTGCTGTGAAGTAACCCAAGTAGCAATATTTAACTTCACAGCATTGGGTTGGCATGGTATGAAGTTCACTGGTGGTTTTACACCGGATAGTGAGCTTTGTAACTTCACTGCATGAGGTGAAGTAGGAAGGGTTTTACCCCACATGTGCAACAGAATTTCAACTTCACAACATGCTGTGAACAACAGAATTTCAACTTCACAACATGCTGTGAAGTTGAACATATGTTGCACATGTTTTATTGCTTGCAACGGCACGAGTGAACTTCACACTACGGCGCTGTGAAGTTGAATGGGTGTTTAATGTCCCATGAGCCACTGACCTCTCGAACTTGTGCGCATTGATGCTGACACTTTCCTTCTTGGATAATTATGTTTATAGGCTCGGGAATGGCATAGGACCCTGTCGACAGCTATGGATGCCTACCGTCAAATGCTGGTCATGACCGATGAGGCTGCATCGAAAGCGCTGAACTTACAGAACAGATCAACTGCATTCAGGGACCGGCTAGTATCGAAGGAGCGGGGGATGATCTT